CCACCACCCCCCCCAACCCATCCAGCTGCAGCCGAAATCCCTCCAGGCTGGATGGAGCCTTTCCAGGAAGAAACAATGTTCCTGATTGGAGACAAAAAGCTTTCCCCAGCAGATCCGGTGCTTGGTGCCATGGGGAAGGGACACACGGCCCAGAGCCAGGCCATTTTGGGAAAGGGGAGGGAGGGTAGTATGCCCAAGCTCTGCATGGAAGATGGGAAAGGCCTCGTGGTTCCCAGTGTGCTGCTGACAGTGCTGAGGTCCTGGCATGAAGCTCCACCTGAGATTTGAGGCTATGGGGTCCTGCTTATAGGTAGGGCAGAGCTCAGCCTATCTTGTCCCAGTAGGGCCATGTCCTGGCTTGTGTTGTGGCATCTGGTAGCAAGGTCACCCCAGGAGCTGCAGTCACCCCAGGGTGTCTGGTCAGCATGGCTAACCCTGATGACGTGAAGCCAAGGTGCCAGGCAGGGGAGTCAGCAGGAGGATGGGAGCAAGGCAGGGGGTGCCATGGGCACCCACACAGAGTGCAGCCAGGCAGCACAAGGAGAAGATGCTGGCCCCATGGCAGGGATGTGACATGTAGGGCTCATCTGTCACCACACACAGCTGTGGCTGGCAATGCCCTGTGAGGAGGGTGGGATGGGTCTGGAAGGGAGCCATGGGGCAGGCAGGGGGTTGTGCTCCAGACCTCTCACTGCAGGTGGGAGCTCATGGCTCCTCATGTACCTACGTGCACGCTCCTCAGCCCACATCATGGGGAGGGTGGGAGCTGGCTCTCTGTGCGGCCACCCCATCCCGCCTGCCACTGTGATGCTGCCGCCCGCCGCACCACGCACCCCAGTGATGTCATGCTCCACCACTGCAGTGACATCCCATCCCAGGCCGCAGCCACCTCCAGCACCGCTATGACATTGCACGACATCATGCAGCAGGGCCTCATCACACCCCAAAGGCACCCCAGAGCAGTGACAACATGGTGACATCACAGCAGCCCATGACATCATGCTGCTTATGCCCCAGTAACCTCATATTCCCATTCCTGCCATT